AGGAGGGAAATAGCTGCTGTGTAGGTGTTAAGAGTTTTGCCAAATCTCACTAAGTTTCTAGGTGAAGTTTCATGGGGAGAAGAAGGTCTATAGGTATCTCTACCTTCTGAGAATAGAACAGGCCAAGCCCTGAGGATGGCAATGAAGTCAAATTTCTAATTTTCCAGTTGACAGCATTAGCTTCAGGGTTGTGAAAATGTGGCCTGTGAGTTTAATACCAAGAAAGAATCTTAGGTATGGAAATAAAAGGGGAAAGATCTGCAGTAAAGTCCTCAACCCAGGGGTAATTAGGGTCAGGCTTATGCTGCTGGGTTCTGGCCCTGAGCTGTGGAGGAGGTAGCTGCTCTCCTGAGCCATGGGGCTCAGGACATGGGAGGAGCCAAAGGCCCTGCCCACGGGGCTGCCTGGCAGGGGCTTCAGGGAAGGAAACTGATCACACTCCCACAGGCGTTGCTCCAAGCCCAGATCTCATGGCCAGGGTGAAAGACTCAGAGATCAGGGCCTTAGGGCTAGGCCTGGGCTCCTGGGGCCAGCTGTCTTCAGCTCTGTCCTTACTGGTCCCGAGTGATTGTTATGATGCTGGAGCCAAAGAGGGAGGAACAGCAAATGCCCCCAGAGCCTTTACTCAGCCAGATTCTGTTCTGATTCGAATGAAAAGAAGCACATGCTAAATAAGTTTATGTGTGTGTGTGTGTATAAATATATATATGTATACATTATATAAATGTAAATAATGTTTTGGTTATAAATTATATTGATATAGCTACATATGCTATGCATCTATATTATAAATCAATATAATATATAGATTTATACAGAAATAAATGTAACTTTGTTGTTATAATGCATGACTTTACATTTTGATAAATTTAAGAACATTTAAAATAATAAATTCAAGAACATTTAAAACCAGCAATGGGTGCACCACTCCATGGCTCCTTCCCCACTGCAGAGCCGAGAATGAGGAAACTCAGGCTCTACCTCCATGTCCCTGCAGGGCTGAGCAGGGACCTGCCCATTGCTGAGAACTTTGAGTGACCAGAGGGGGTCTGAGGAACACAGAGCAGCAGGTGCCGGGGAGACAGGCAGTGGAGCTAGGCCACGGTGGAGGAACATTTGGTGCCCAGAGCTTCCTGTGGGCAGGTCCTTCCCAAGGGCTCTCCTGTCAAACGGAGCAGCATATGAGGCTGAGGCTGTGTGGTCACAGGACGAAACCCCTCCATAGCCTATTGGCAGCCTCCCCTCTGACTGGAGCCGTGTGGGATCTGTCGGCTCAGCTTTCATGGCTCACATGGCTGCTGGAACCCTGTTCACAATGGTGTTGCTTGATCAGCTTGGCTGCTGATGGCCAGAGTGATATCTGTCCAGGCAGTTGAAGCCTGACCCGGGCAGGCGTTGTGTCCACAGGGAACTGGGAGCCAACAGGAGCTCAGAGCTGGGCCTGTTTTCTGCTGGAGCCAAGCTAAAATAGAACACTCTTAACACTCTGGCCGGCCCTACAGATGACAGTGGCCTTCTCTCTGGGGACATAGGAAAAGGGGTAAGAGACGGGGTGCACACAACATACCCACTGGCATCTATGTCGGGAACAAACATGAACATCCCCAAGTATTAATACCAAGCAAGTAATTCATTCAGTTTGATGAAGTTCTGATCAGAAAGCAAAACAGGCTAACCACTTCATCTTCAAGGAGACATTCTAGTACAAAATGCAAGCAAATAGGATGAAGCCTGCATCTTCCTTCCTCACCAGAGAATCAGAGCAGCAGGAGGAACAGAACAAAGCTGGGTCCCCATGTCCACAGGGAGCCTCCGGAGGGAGATTCTGCTTGGAGCTGGCAAAGATGATGTAGTAGTCCACTGGGACTCCCACACCAAAATGGATATGGCTGGACAGCTTAAACCACAGAAATTAAGTTTTACATTCCTGGTGGCTGGAAATTGCAAGATCAAAGTCCAACAGGGTTCACTTTCTGGGAAGGTCCTTCTTCCTGGTTTGGAGATAGCCACCACGGGTAGAAAGTTGAGTTAGGGGCAAGAGGGAGAAGAGAGAGAGAAAAAGTAGGAGAGCTCTCTGATTTCTATTCTTATAAGAACATTAATTCTATTGGATCATGGTCCCATCCTTTAGACCCCATTTAGCCTCAATTACCTCAACCATCTCCTACAGCTGCATAAGAGGAATAAGGCCAGGCTTACATTCTCAGATCACAGAGGACAGAGGGGTTTCCCCATAGCACAGCACACTGCAAGCGCCTCCTGGGTGCTCCAGATCACACATGAGACCCCATTTCAACCTTAGGGACTCCATGTTGATAATCAGACATCATCACCCTTGCAATGCAAGTTATATTTTTAGATCAAGGCAATCTCTTTGTTTTTTTGTTTTTTGTTTTTTGTTTTTTTTTTGGTCGGTGGGGGGTTTGTTTGCCATCTACAGGCAGGTTTTTGACATAGCAACATTTAGGATGTTTGATTTTGTGATAGTGAAAATTAATTATTAAACATAAATAATAAACTTAATGCATTGATTGTTTAAAATAATGAATTAAACTTAATACATTGGTTGAAGGGCTTAAAATGAGTGTAAAGGGATAAAAAGACAGAGTCCTTCCAAAGGAGGAGTGTCTGTCACAGATGAGTCTTTTTTTATCAAATGACTTTTCAGCAGTAATTCTCAATGGTAAATGACAACTTCAGATAGACTGCCACAAATATAATCATATATTCAAAACTATTATTTCCAGGAATTGTGCAAATACATTTTCAGATTAAAAAAGCAAAAAGTGTGAGTTTTTCACCAGCTTCACTTGGTGAAAAATTTCACAAACCTGTGCTTTACACAAAAGAACATTTATCCCTGGTGGAAAACTGGAGTTTTCTTTGGTCTTTAGAAGAAAACAGCTTTCCCTTCACTCTGTTCCACCTCATGCTGCTGAGGATGGCCGTGGTGGTAGAGACTGTGAGGGAGGAAGAAGGCTGTGCGCTGAGGGTGGTCGTGCCTCCTGCCGACCTGAGTGACCTCATGGAGCAGAGCCACCTACAGCACGAAGGCCACCTGCCTGCCTCTGTACTGCCATGGCACAGAGAAACCTTGTCACATTCAGTCCACCATATTTTGAAGCTTCTCTGTAACACATTTGATTGTGCTCTGATTCTTTTTGTATCTCTTTCAGTATTTGGAATCATTTGTTTTTCACCATTTTGACTTGAGAGTATCGCCGCCTGAGATATCAGCACCATGTAGGTTGTATGTTTGTTTGTTTTTTAGAGGTGTCCAACCACCTTGAGTGGTTTGGGCCTTTTCCCCCGTCTCACATCAAAGCAGAATCTTAGGTGACTAGGTGCTGTCAATCACCTGATGGCTAAAGATGGTGATGACATTGCTTAACTCCTGCCCTTGCTACTTACGCTTGTCTTCTCTCCCCGCATTCTGTAATAACTTTTAAGCTCCATGATGCATTAATTAGCATTTTAAACAGTGTATTAAGTGTCTTATGTTTCTTATTTTCACTTATTTTAGTCTGCTTGATTCCTATATAAATATAGCAATGTCTACTAAACCCAACAGATATGACGCTTCGGAATTTTAATTGCACTTGTCATGAAATCCATTACCTTAGAGTAGAAAATCATCTCAAATATACTTTACACCTTAAATCTGAAACAGGAGCTTCTTGTTCTGTTGCTTCAATCATTTTGTGTCTATCACACAATATTCTAATATGTAATTGACATAGCTCATCATTGAGTTTGACATAATATTATAACAGTAGAACACTGTTTTGTACAGAATCTATTGAAAGAATAAATTTTCTTTGTTTTTACATCTAAAACATATGATTCAGATTCATTTTCTGGTAATGATGATATCATATGTAAATAATACATTTTTGTAATATTTGAAACCTTTTGTTATGATGACATAGTACTAAATTTATCATCCCTAAAATAGTACTTAGAATAAATACTTTTACAATTAGAATTTGTTTGAGAAAAAAAAAACCTCTCATATAATTCTGCATTTTTCCAGTGACATATTTTGTAAACTCTGTGTTCTCCAGCTCTCAGTTTTCCAGTAGCATATTTAGTAAACTCTGTGTTCTCCATCTTTCAGTTTATGCTTTTTTTTTTTTTTTTTTTTTGGACAGAGTTTCACCTTGTAGCCCAGGCTGGAGTGCAGTGGTGCTATCTCAGCTCACTGCAACCTCCACCTCCCGGATTCAAGTGATTTTCCTGCATCAGTCTCCCAAATAGGTGGGATTACAGGTGTATGCCACCACACCCTGGCTAATTTTGTATTTTTAGTAGAGACCGGGTTTCACCATGTTGATCAGGCTGGTCTCAAACTCCTGACCTCAAATGATCCACTCACCTTGGCATTTCAAAGTGCTGGGATTATAGGCATGAGCCACTACGCACAGCCCGTGCCGCTTATTTCTGAAGCTCACTTGTGGAGTTGCAAGAACTCCTTCTTCACTGGGAAAAACGTAATTGAGGCAAATCAAAATCTTTTGGCATTAAGATCTTATATTTACCAAGGATTTACAAAGTCTAGGAATTGCCAGAAATCAAACATTTTTACTAATTATTCTTATCCATACACCCCCTGAGGACAGCTTGTATAGAACATGATCTCCAACATGACACTGGAAAGTGCAGTTTAGTGTGAGTGGTAAAGTGAAACAGAAAGTAAGGAAAGTGGGAAAATGCCGATTTCTCAAAAATTCCAAGTATTAGCACCAAGTATTAACTTGTGTAAAATAAACCCCAAGCTGGTCACTTTCCACATGGATTCCACTTGTGTTGTCACTAAACTGCATCTATGTTCTGGCTGTCATGCTGACTGAATGTAATTGGCAAATGTGGGCAAGACAGGCAGGGTGGTGATGAGCCTGAAAACTTAAAAAGCTTTGACCATGTGGGACTGAGGTGCTGCTGGGACGCTCATGGGCCAGAGCCCTCAACAGCAAACCCTGCCCCTGACTTCTCCAACAACCTCCGCTTCTGCAGACTCAGAGACCCTGCTGAGCTACTCCCCAGACAAGTGAGCAGCTGGGACACCCCAGCAGGGAGGTTTCTGTATTGGTCTGTACCACCGTGGGAGGAAGCGCTTTATGTTGCATGCAGTAATAAACCCCAACATCCTCCGCCTCCACCTTGCTGATTTTCAGTGTGAAATCAGTGCCTGACCCACTGCCACTGAACCTGTCTGGGACTCCAGAGGCTCTGTTGGAACCCCCATAAATCAGGAGCTGCGGAGACTGGCCTGGCTTCTGCAGGTACCAATCCAAATAGGTATATCCATCAGTATGCAGGAGGCTCTGACTAGACCTGCAGGAGATGGAGGCCGGCTCTCCAGGGGTGACTGGCAGGGAGAGTGGAGTCTGGGTCATCACAATATCCCCACCGGATCCTGAAATTATGAGAGAGAAGTGCAAGGTTATGTGAAAGCATAATATGCAACTTTTGAGATTTGACTTATGATATTGATTTATGGCTAATCTTTTAGTTTTACAAACTTGTATTCATATCATAAAAACAAACTTTTTAAATGACCCCTTTATTAAATAGACACAAGAGCTCTTTCATTTCTCAAGATATTATTCAGAGCACTGATTTTAGGAGGTTTCTATTGTCAGGGCAAAATATAAATTCCTCTCCCTGGATCATAGGCCACATTCCTTTAACACATGGTTAGAATAAACATGGAATCAGTGGGGCCACCAGAGCTCACCCTCCCAACCCCTTCTCCTCCCTCATCTCCTTCTGTCCTTACCAGGGACCCAGAGCATCAGCAGCCCCAGGAGCTGAGCAGGGAGCCTCATTGTGAGAAAGTGAACTGAGGAGCCCTGATCAGGGAAGGTTAGAGCTGAGCTTTTATCTCAGACTCACAAGGGAAGGTCCTCCCTAGAGGACAATATGCAAATGCCCTGGTGGGTGCAGTGGTGTGGAAAGAGTCACTGGGCGGGGGTGAAGGAGGGTAGATATGTCTTGTCTGTGAGCAATGTGATAGAAAGTGTCCCTTGGTGGGAAACTAAGAAAATCTAATTCATCAGTAGAGTAGGAAGAAGGACCTGAATTTGAAAGTTTCAATTCTAGGCAAGTAACATTTTATAGGATGTCAGGGCTTCCAAATTCTTGCCAACTCTGAGTGTGAACCCGTGTCTCCCCCGGACCTGTATGTGGCACAGCCACAGCTATGAGACCACTGTTCAAAAGGAGATTCTCTATGCAGGAAAAGCAAGAACTAGATCCACAGTTTTAGGTCTCAGGGACAGCAGTACTATGGATGACATTTTCCTAGGTTTTTATTGAAAGATGATCACAATGAATCTACCACACAGTGGATCATTACAATAGGAAAACAACCTGAGTATTCTTCATTTGTCAGTGATGTGCTTAATATTGAATTTAGCAGCTCCTATACAATGGTGCATACATCAAATCATGTCACAAGGACTGTCACTGTCCTGAAAAAAACAAAATCCTGGGAGTGATTAAAAGAATAGTTTCTAGTGCTATGTAATCTTCAATGATTTAATATAATGTCTGATTTACTTCGTAAGGAATACACACCCAGAAAAACCAAACAGAGCTCTAGGTATTATTATTCCACACAAAGCATGTCCGATTATCTTCTGGGAGATGCACTGGCATAAGATGTTTTAACATAGTTGGTGAAAAAAAATTGAGTAAAAATGATATTGAGCTTAAAATGTTGAACTTCATGGCAGTAACCTAAATTCAGAACATCAAATTGTAATGTGAAAGTAGGATTAGAATAAATGTATCATATTCCATTATTTAAATTTTTATTTATTCTTTTCTTCGAGTACTTTCTGTAAATCTTATGTATTTTGTAAATCTTATGTATTTTTTTTTGAGACCGAGTCTTGCTCTGTTACTCAGGCTGGAGTATAGTGGTGCAATCTCCAGTCACAGCAACCCCGCCTCCCGGGCTCCCGGGTTCAAGCAGTTCTCATGCCTTTGGAGTAGATGGGACTACAGGTGCTCTCCACCATGCCCAACTAATTTTTGTATTTTTAGTAGAGAAGAGGTTTCCACATGTTGGCCAGGCTGGTCTCGAAGTCCTGGCCTCAAGCGATCCACCTGCCTTGGCCTCCCAAAGTGCTGGGATTACAGGAGTGAGCCGCTGTGCCTGGCATTGACTTATTCTTCCTCGTGATGCTGATCAGATCAAATATGGTTCTTAGCCTTGAAAATGTCAAACTCCTAATTCATCATAATAGTTAAAAGAGTTAGAAACATCAGATACTGAAAAGAAAAATAAAAGTAAACACACAAAAGAAACACACAATCTAAAAGAGAACATTAAGGTACATCTTATCACTGGTATAAATGGATTAGTCTGAAAAGGTGTTAAATGAATAATCAGTTCCACCCACTATTCTATATAGAAATTTGCACTGTGGGAAAATGAATTACAGTAATAAACTATCAGGCTTGCTTTTACTATGAGTCATTTCTTCAAAATCTTAGTTTTACAAAGTATTCTCTAGGGTGCTGAATTTCAGAGAGTACTGTTGCTTCCTTTGAAAGTTAATGACAAAGCTTTAAAAAGGTTACCATTGGGATTGCTTGTTTTATCTCATAATCTCTTGTCATTACATATCTGAAAATGTAAAAGCTTGTAAAAAATTGTTTCAGTAATAAAAAGGCTCTGCAGTAACCCTATACTAAAGGCCTTGAAATTGCCCTATACTGTTAAACTTAAAGAATAATATTCTTCATTCTAAGCAGGAATCTGTCTCCTGAATGTTAGTAGAGTATGCAGAGGCTTCACAACAGCCGACAAAGCTGGTCACTCCACGGGGGACACAGAAAAAAGGGTAGATGAACAGCCTCCATTTGATCAAGGTGTGGAGCGGGCCTCTGTATTTCTCTTATCTGGACCATGATCACTTGAATGAGGAAGGACTCATACAGGTGGAGTTTACTGCATGTCACTTGCCAGATGCTGTTAGTTTGGAGTCCATAAAATGGAAGACAAGTGTATTATTTGTATGACTTGAGAAGTCAGTCTCAGAAGTGGAATTGTGTCCATTATGCCGGAGTCAGTGTTTGTCGGGTGGACAGTGTGGATCTGTTCACAGGGAGTTTGAGAAATTGGGGTTCTGATCAAAGAGAAAGCGATGTCCGTCGGGTGGCAGTAGCACACATGACTGTTGGGTGAAACTTTGAGAGATGTGCCCAAAGGAGTCCCTCACAGCAGGAGACTGTCTAGAATCAAAGATGATGGGGTTGCTACTCAGAAAAGGTGGAGACCAAGGGAACTCCTAAGGTGAAGGAACATTGGAGAAAGGGCTTCTGTGTCTAGGGGTAGCCAGAGAACAGCTTAATCTGGGTCTGAGACATCCAGAGGGCAGGGGTGGTTTCCAATTTTCATAACCTGGGGCTTTTCTTACCTACTGCTAACAGATGTGGGTGGGGTTTTCTGTGATATGAAAAGCAAGCATTCTCTGAATGGCTAAAAATCTTCTTTGGGGCTGGGCGCCAAGGCTCATGCCTGTAATCCCAGCACGTTGGGAGGCCAATGTGGGCAGATCAAGAGGTCAGGAGATCGAGACCATCCTGGCTAACATGGTGAAACCCCATGTCTACTAAAAATACAAAAAAATTAGCCAGGTGTGGTGGCACGTGCCTGTAGTCCCAGCTACTCAGGAGGCTGAGACAGGATAATTGCTTGAACCCGGGAGGTGGAGGTTGCAGTGAGCAGAGATCGCGCCACTGCACTCCAGCCTGGGCAACAGAGCAAGACTCCGTCTCAAAAAAACAAAACAAAACAAAACAAAAAAAAAACAAACAAAAAACTTATTTGGGCTGTTTTTGAAATTGTTGGATTGGAAAACTTGAGTTTGGCACAGGCATTTTGAAATAGTTTGCAGTTTAGAAACACATGACATAGGAACAGTTGGCACTGGCCATCTTTAGCTCATTTCTACAACACTGTCACATATTCTGTAAACTTTGTTCTGCAGACTGTGCTAGTCCAAACAGGCAAACTCACACTGTTCTGGAGGAGATTGAGACATACAGAGGCCTGTTCTCCACCTGGACCTCAATGGAGGTTTTTCCTGACCAAAAGTGAGTTTGCCCCTGTGTAAGAATTAAGACCAAGTCACCTGCAAAGGGAGCTTCCCTCTGTGATGCTGCAGGTCCTATGACTGGATTCCTGGCTCCAGACACCTGAAATTGAAGCTGTCTGCATTATCTCACTAACTGCAAACTGTCACCCACTGGGGCATAGATTCATGGATAAATATTCTGGTACACAGAGAGTTCAGGGAATGAAGCCTTCCTGGATGTCTGTATCTTGTGCTTCTGAGAATTTCTCTAAAAACTGTGGAAAACAGAGTTGTTTACATGTTTGACACATAAGGCAACATGTAACATGTTTCTGAGTTCTCAGACCCTGTTCTAAATCTGCCAAATCTGAATCTGTTTCCAAACGTTTGAATTATTTGTCTTTCTTTTTCTTGGGAAAAAAAGTGGAAAAAGTCCTATAAAACAACAGACTGAGCTGTGAGATTCAGTGCTGGACTTTTCCTCCGTGCATGTTAATCTTTCTGCAGAGCCCAACTCACCAAACATCAATACAAAAAATGAAACAAGGATTCCATTGCCTCCCTGAACCTTCTGCATCTTTTAAGTTCCCTCGAAATTCTTATCCTTGTAGAAAGGGGCTTCTCTCCTCAAAAGTAGGTCTCTAAAAAACCACAGCTTGTCTGGAAGGTTATGAATTTTTTTCTACCATTTGAACATGAAAGCTGTCTTTTTGACTTTACATTAAAGCCTGGTTTAATTGAGAGGTGGAGGGTGGAGACCCCAAGAAGATTCTGGGGACTGAATTGGGGATTTGAGCCTTTTATACTGCAGTGGAAGTTGCCTGTGATGTGAAAATTTGTATGAATATACCAAGAAGACAAAGAAATTTGTTTCTTACTTTTTAATTTAGAGAAAAGGGTTCACCTATAGAAAAATTAAAAATATAATTTGAGAATTCTGAAACTTACTACTCCTCAATTTATATTAATTTTAAGATCCACAAAATACTCATATGAAGTTTGAATGCAGAAATGTTAAGACTTTCAGGAAAACTCAGATACAAAATTAAATCACTTAATTTATAAAATCAACTGAAATTCTCTTTTAGCCTCTTCCTGTCAACTCCTGTTCATAAAAATCCTGTTCAGAACAAGAAAGAGACAGGAGCTGAACAAATTTCCTGTTGCTCATTCCTTGTTATAACAATAATAAGAAGAAGAATACCAATAACTGCACAGCCTCTACATGGCCACCAGGAAATGGTGACTCTGCCGTGTGGAAGCAGCAGCTTCATACCACAGTAGTAAATTTCACTTTGACTGGTCCTCTCTTGGCCAGGAGTCAATGATCACCCAAAGTTCACATGCTCTATGAAGCATCAACTGTGCTCAAATTTCAGTACTTCTAGAAATTTGTTTTTCTAAAATATATCCTAGCAAGAAAAGAATGCAGGATCAGTAAAAAAAAATAAAATAAAATAAAATAAATTTTCACCTTCTAGAAGCAGTCAGGGCATGAAATTATAAAGTGTAACAAAGGACTATAGACATGACCATGTCTTAGAAACTTACTTTACCAGCTCTTACTCATATTTAATATTCTTACCTTAGCAAATGAAGAACATTATCAACCTAGAAAATGACTTTTTGTATTGTGAAATCCTAGCAGCCCTAGGTAGAATTTAAAGCCTAATATGAGAATCTCTGTTATTCGCTTATCCCAGAAAATCTGATTGCACAAAAAGTATCTGTATTAAGCACATTAAAACGGAAAATCTATTGATCCTG